AAAACCTAAAGATAGCATTTTTGCAGTCCCGAATATCCCACTTGAAGCGCTCATGAAACCGATCCAACCAAAATTCGATACGACTGACAATCATGGGACCAAAGTATATCAGAAACAAGTTATGAAGAAACTGGAAAAGAAGAAAACGTACGGATGTGAGTGGCCTGAAAAGTTCAAGAAAACTCCAATCCACTTCATTTTTGCGCCCCACAGAATCGCTTCCTGTGGTGGTCTCCGTCCCAGGAGTTTTTACGCTCAAATCCCTTTCTTTCGCATCGCTTTCTTGCGTATAGTTACCATGCTCTTTAAATCCTAAAAACCGAAACATTCCCATTCAGATTTTAATCTTATTTTATTTACATAACCCTTTATTTCCTCACAGTTTTTCATAAAAATATACCAACTAAAATTAAAATTAAAAAAGCTATCCTGCTAGAGCTGTGTCTTGTTCTGAAATTCAGAAGCACAAGCCGATTATGGACCTCAGGCAAGATTTACTGAAGCTTATGCTTAGGTGAAGCTGAGGGCAAATAAATTCATAGGCGAATTAAGGATGGATTTCTGGAGGGAAGGAGAGGGAGGAGGGGGAGGGGATGGTTCTCCTAGCGGCTACGACCGGTGACCGATGTGGAAGAGGAGGGTGCTGAAGAAAGTCGAAGTCAAATTCCCTTCGCATATCTCTTTTTCTGGCCCTACTTACTAAGCAAAACTTGATCTGATCGGATAAGGGTCTCTTCGATGACCGCTGTGAAATTACTATAATATTGCATATTGAGGCATATGATATTGCATTTTTGGCATGCATTAATTCGCTTACCACTCTTAGGGCCATACGATTCAACAATAAGTTCGTATTCCTGTGCTTCCTTGATCTGAAAGAGAAATTCGAATTCTGTTTTAAGAATTTTTTATGAATTTTTTGATTTTCAAATTTCAAAAATTTTAAAATTTTCAAAAATTTTAGATTTAACTAAAAATAGAAATAACTGAAATTTAATTTTAAATTTAAAAATAAAACAAATAAGATTTTAGTTTTTTTTTTTTAAAAGATTTAGAAAACTTCTCGTTTTCTAAGAAGAAAAGACTTCTTGACAACAAAAATCAATGCACGACTTAGGAACAAAAAACAAACCTCATAGTACCAGCCACTACGCCAGCAAAAACGCATATTGTCGAGAGGCTGTCTGTGTGTGCGTGTGTTCGCTTTCCGAACACACACACACACACACACAGACAGCCTCTTGACAATGAGTTTTTGCTGGCTGTAGCAGCGCTATAGTGCTGAATTCAAAAGGTAAGTGAATTCAAAAGGGTGAACCTCATTCATCCAGTACAACATCTCCTTCCTTGCTCTTTCCTCTTCAGCTGGATCGATGGCCGAGGGCCCAGCACGCCGTCGCTTTTTCTTCTGTTTCGGTTTCCACAAGTCTTCTAATTGCTCCATCAAATCATCGGTGATTTTCGTCCATCTTCGCAAAAAACCCCCTTTTGGGTACTGAAATGTTAACAAATCACATCACACTTTTAAGGAACCCAAAAATTCGTCAATCACTTTATTTCCTGGAATTTTTATGGAAAAAAAAATTTCTCAAATTTCTGAAATTTTGAAATTCCAGTTCTTAAGGAACCTAAAAATTGGCCAACCACTTTATTTTCCGGAATTTTTATGGAAAATTTCTCGAGTTTCTGAAATTCTTGTTCTTAAGGAACCCAAAAATTGGCCAACCACTTTATTTCCCTCAAAATTTTTATGGGAAAAAATTTCTCGAGTTCCTGAAATCCCGAAATTTTTGAAATTGTAGTTCTGAAATCCTGAAATTCTAGTTAATTTTAAAAATGCATTGCCTGATTTTCATCCCCTTCCACTCCATCAATGATCGTAACG